ACACACACACACACACACACACACACACACACACACACACACACACACACAAAGGGTAGGTTGTGATGGTGCCGGTGGGAGAGATGGAGGCATTCAGGAAAAAAGGGGGTGGGGGTCTATTGGGGTTGGGAGTTGGTCTGCGAATGCGGGTGTTGTAGGGGTGGGTTTACATGGTGTGTGCTGCTACATGCCCTGTTTCGGTCGGGCGGGGCTGGGTGCCTTGGGGGTCGACGACACGTGCCCTGGGTGCCGCCACCGCGGGGTGGACACGGGGTAGGTGCCACGTGCGTTTGCCTGATTGTCCGTTACCCTTCCGCAATGAAGAACGGCTTCGGAAGTGGAGGACGACAGATGAGGAGACAAAGTGGTCCGATTGGTGCAAACGTGGTGGCGGACGTTGAGGGCGTACTAGATACCATTCGAGGCAAATGTGTCGTTGTCAGTTGTCGATGTCTGCCGAAGGATTTGTATTGGCGGGCTACAGGTGTGCCCTCCTCGCCCAACACTGCCCCACATCGCGCATATATACAGTGCCTCGCCAAGATCGTCCACCTTACCGCCCATACACCGCCCGTCTTCCGTTGTCGCATACACATCCCCGTCCCGCCATTTCGGCGTCCACCTCGCGTGCTCGCCTACTGGCGTCGAGTCTATCGCCACGCAATATTGTCGCCAAGCGCTCTACCTTTCGTCCACGCGCTCGCGTCGTGTTGTCTGGCCGTGGCTTGCAAACCGCGCACTGCAAATCTAGGACACCGTCACTTGTTTTGATTCATCCCCGTCGTCCTTTGCCTCGGTCATCCGTGCGGATGATAGAGGTGGATCCCCTCCCATCTTTCAACCACCCCTGTCGCCTTCGTCGTCTCGAGCGTCGCCTTCGTTGTGTGAGCCGCACGGATCATCTGCCTTCACACGCACTTACGTTGATCGTCGTATTCTCAAGCGACAGATATGAAGTCCGTGGCGAGGGAGTCGCTGCTCCATGACGAAGTTTCCACTCAGATCTCCACGTCGGCGAAGCTGCGATCGACCACATGCCTGGATCATTGTCGTCGATTGATCGACTGTGTGAACCGTGCCCTTTCGTGGACGATCGCCGTTCAGGACAGTCACGAAGGGGGTACAGTCTTTGCGCAATGCACGCCATTGTCACTGTGTTGTATCGTTGTCATCAACTTCACCATGTCGCCGCCCGGATTCAAATTTTCCCGCCACTACAAGTTGTACCAGGCCTGTCCAAACGAACAACAGCCCATGGACCACCGACCCCACCCCACCCTACGGTCGGCAATAATATTATGCGATTGGTCGCGGGGCCCCGTAGGAATCCTCCTCGGAAGACGGTCCCGAGGATGAGTGGCACGACGGCGGGAATTCTCTATGGTGACCCAAAGGAAAACCCCTTGGGCCCTGAGGACGGCCCTTACAACCAAGGCCATTCACACGACTGAGTACCCACACTTAGTCTTCAGCACGCATGAACACCTAGACAAAGCAGCGATGGAGAAGAAGGGAGTCCCTTGCTGTTCAAAAATAATATCAACAATGTTGGCACTCCATATGTGCTGTGACGAACTATCTTCTGCAACCGCGCGATTTTCTGCGCAGAGCTACTTCGGGGGTTGATCGGGAAGGGCCCATCAAATTGCATGAGTTCCCTCACATTTTTGGAATTGAGCCTGGTATGGTCCCACAACGGTGGTAGTTGATCGCGCCTTAGTGAGCCCAAACGATAACTGCCGCCATAGCTTCTTTCTTGTTCTGCTGTGGGAAATGAGAATTTTGGCGCGATCGTCGCACGGGAAAATCTTTGTGAATTTTCAACTAACCCCGCGGGCTCTCGGAATTTTTCTCTCTCAGAATTTCTTTTTGCAATTAGGATTTAGGCAAGGAATTTGGGTGCATCGCAAGTTTGCTGCACGACGCTTCTTGCTTGCGCACGTTTTGTCGCGTCAGGATTTTTGCTCTGACTTTTTCGCGCCTTAATCTTACGTGTAACTGTAATTCTTGTCTTGGCGGGCATGGTTGTAAGTGTAATCCTCTCTTTCTTGATATCTTCGCTGCCCCCCCCACTCCCCACGCGCACATACTTTTCCCCCTGTCTTATTGGCCCGGACCATTACATGACTGAATCGATGTGTGGAGTGTGGCTACGTCCCCCACGCCGCGGCTGGCCATGCAGTCGTAGGCACTGCCTTCCTCCTTCTTCTCTCCCACCCAGGCACAATCCCGGGCATCTCGCACAAGCATACATGCTATAAATTTTGCAAGCGCGATTAACTCTCTCCCTATGAATTTTGGAGTTAGCGAGGTATTTCGGGTCCCTCAGACTCTCACGATCGGACATCCAAGAGGGAAATTCCTCAGCCATATCCGTTTAGAAAGTTCGGTCCCCTGCATCCTCATATGGCGTTCCAGGTTGACTTACGCAGGCGAGCGCGTACGTAGCGATTCAACCTTTTCGAGATCGCGACCATACGCGAGCATGCAAGTGGGTTGAGTTGCTGGCCCGACAAGAGGAGGGGGGGGGGGGTAGTTTAATGTATCAATCGCGTTGGGCATACATGCAAATATCCTACTCGTGCTACACTGGGTGAGGTCCGATCATTACATGCCATCCATGTGACAAAAAGGAGGAAAGAAGAGAAAGGATCATCAACTTCTTGTAGCACTCTTGGTGATCGAAAGTTAACGACTAAACCAAAACATCCATAATCGAGCGTTTTCAATCATATCTGAGCGTATAGCTCACGCCAGTGAACCGTAGATAGAGACAAAACGGCCATCGCAAAACAAGATTGGAAATCCGAAAAGATCGCTAATAAAAGAGAATTCACATTCCTTCCATGCATACATACAAAATACAAACGACAAGGAAAATCCGAGACGATTTACAAAAGAAGTCCAAAAAGAAGGCCGCGATAAAATCGACCATGTCCAGATCCAAAATTATACAGATGAACATAAGAAAAGAAAGGGACAACGAACATAACCTCATCCCACACCCACAAATGCTCTCTCTCGCTCTCTTCCTCCACGCTCCCGATGCGGGCAGTCCATCGCCTCGCATCAACACAGAGTTGTCACCCCCCTTGGTTTTAGCATGCAAGCCAGGTTCGCCCGTGCGCCACAATTCGTCGTGGCCCCGGACGTCAACCCCGCATACCCGACACCAGCTCGTCGGATCGCCCAACTCTCGCACGCACTCACCTTCCAAACTTGCTCGTTAGCCGACCCTCACTGATCGCGCTAACCTCGAATTTCTTAGAGAGCCAACTAATCGCGCTTGCAGAATTTATAACATGCATGCCTGCGCGAAAGGTACGGGATTAAGCCCAGGTGGACAAGAGGAGAAAAAAAGAAGTGCCTACGTTCTGCATGGCCAGGCCGCGGTGTGGGGGTCGTAGTTACATTCCACACATCGATCCGGTAATTCAGGCGCCCCGGCCAATTAGAACAGAGTATGTGAGGCGAGGAAGAAGAAAAAGGCGGGCAAACACGGGGAAGCCAAGAAAGAAGAAAGATACAGTTACAATCGCGCCCGCCAAAAACGACAATTGCACAAGATTAAGGGTGCGATCCAGTTAGAGCCCTTGTTCCCAGCGCAGCAAGATGCACGCAAGCGCGACGCGGCGAAATTAAGCGTTCCTAAATTCCTAGCCTAAGTCCTAATGGCAGAAAGGAAATTCTGAAAAAGAGAAAAACAATTCCGATATTCCCACGCGATGATCGCGCCAAAAATCCCCAGTGCTCACAGCAGAACAAGAAAGAAGCTATGGTACAGTTATTTCTCGCGCCCGTCATGGCGCAACTACCCAACCGTTGGCACGGGATTTTCCTGACACCAATCCGACAACTTCCAACCGAAAACGAAAAGAAACAAGGACATTCATGCAGTTTGCCCGCCCAACCCATCTTCTCACAGTTCGCCCATCCGACCCGTCGTATTTCCCCAAGCAGCTTCGCGCAGAAAGTCGCGCGATCACAGAAAATAGTTTGTCATATATGTGACACCAGGGGTTTCCAATCTTGAGCAAGTTCCTGCTTGCTCTCTCATGAGGCACCGATCGGCTGATCCGACGATCGGCGCGGAGCTGACACGTGCCACTCACCGTAGGATCTGAGTGTGGAAGTCGTCCGACCTGGCATGTGCGCGCTCAATCCAAAATGTTGTCCGGGAATGGTAATCTGATAATGGGTGGAGGAGGTGGTGGATGAACTTGTGGAAGAGGAGGTATGAAGCGGCGAATCTCCCTGTCACTAGTGGGGATCCGGGTGTAATGGACGGTGCGGTGGATGCGGGGGAATCAGGGGGTGGCGCGTTGATGGGGGAGAGAAGCGAGATAGTCGGGATAGAGGGTAGGGAGGGTGCGCGGGATTGCAGCACGAAAGTTCTCATAATTTTCACAGGCGGGAATTGTACCCGAGATGATGCAATAAACTTCTATATTATTATATTCTCGCCAGGTCGCGCTGAAGAGAAGGACATGGAGAGGGAAGGAGGCGACGAAGGAACGGGTGGTAGTATGTGGGACAACGGTGACGATAAGGCGGGTGGCGTGAAACTGGTGGAAGAGAGTGGGCGGGAAGGGGCACCGTCCATCAGGGAACGGGGGTCGACCTAGGAGTTGGTGGGTTGTGAGGAAGTCAAGGGGACGGCGGGATAACGACCGGGGATGAAGCCTGATCGTCCGCATTTCCACGAAGGCGAAGGGTGGCTCGTGATGGCGAAGAGGACGAGGCCGGGGATTTACTTCTTCTGCGGTGTCAGCTCCCTGATCCCTCCGTTGCGGCTCCATTGGAATCTTCGCGCGGCGGCTCTGGGTTCAGCGATGGATCGCCCGACAACAGCTGTGGTGGTGGTCCTTCAGATTCCTCGACCGACCGCTTGTCCTCCGCTGTCTCTCGCCTTCGCTGAGCTTCAGCCTTCTCCTCTTCCCTGCTTCGTGGGGAATGGACGCTCGGTTCCTGCGCTCCGCCTTCCTCCGATCTGCTTTCCTCTTCCTCTGACCCAATGTCGTCGGGATCGTCCTGATTAGTGCCCAATTCTTCTTCCTCCGACTTTTCTCCTTCTTCTTCTTCTTCGTAGCTGGCTTCTATCGCGTTCCCTCGCCGGATGAAGGGATCCCAATGTGTGAGATCGGTGACGTCAATCTCGAGATAGAGGCTCGGGGACGGGTAAAAGCAGTTATCTGCGTCCAACTCCATACACGTGGACCACAGAAGATGGGGCGCAAGCGTGCGAGTGAGCACGTACGTCCCCGACTTCTCGTCACACCTTGACAGAATATCGAGGGGCAAATCGTCCACCAGCTGCCCCAAGAACACCAATAACTCGTCGGTGATTGCGTCCAAATGACCGTCCTCCACCTTGCCGAATAGTATCCCCAACAGTTCTCCCTCCGTATTCGTCCGCCAAGCCTGCACGATTAACAACTCTACCTCGTCGTCCGGGACCTCGCCCCCTTCAGCCTCGGGCGCTGGATCCGCCCAATGAAACACCGCGCACACCAAACAGAAGTTGAGCTCCACGTAGGCATCCCACCACTTGGTCCACTTGTCTCCGTCCAAGATCGGTACGCTAAGCTCCCGGATTCGGAAGGAGAGGGCGGGATCGATAGCAGATTGTTAGAGGGTGGGAAGATCAAATGGAAGGTTAAAAAGGGAGAGACGATGACGGTTCATTGGGGCCGCTCGAAGGGGAGGAGCTCCGGGAGAAGGATCTTCGGCGTGCTGCTGGAGGTGCGGAGTCGGATGTCTATGTCGTTCGTGCCCACGAAACTCTCCCTCCGTCGGGCCAGCAACTCGACCCACGTGGCCGCGATCTCCTCGGCCCAACCCCGCAGCTGCTGATAGATGTCCGCATGGATCGCCTGGTGCAGCCGCGTCGTAATATCACTCGAGAAGGTGACAATGATGGACACGTGGCTGACACCGGGCGATGATAGGCGCTGGAAAGCCGAGTCTCGGTCAGTGCACGTGTTGCTCCTGCGTGTACGAAACGGAACAGTTACTCTGTTGCCGCGTGGATGGCCGCTGTGCTGAAGAAGGCTGCAAATCGAAGCAGATCGGGGCTCAATCGAGGTCGCTGCACTTGTCGGATTGTCGCTATATGCCCCCTCGGGGTCATAAAACGCTCGTTGATCACCTGCTCCGTCGAAAAACTCATGGCGATGGAGGCGGAGTTGAAGACGGCGGTTATGAGGAGAAGGAGGATTCTAGAGAGTCGTCGTCCTCGTATGGGTTGAGGGACGATGCAGACGAAGGAGGAGAAGGGGAAGAAGGGAGAGGACCAAGGTAGGACACGTGTCGAATGATCGAACGAGCCGGTCGACTTCCCGACACCTCCGACGCAAGCCGTATCGTGTTCACTCCGCTTCGACCTAGCTCTACCACGCGAAATCGCCAAAAGAATCGTGGCGCTAGCTTGCCTTGGAGAGCACATTTCCTCACCTGCACCGTGTCCCCTAATTTATATTGGGGCCGAGGCCCAACATTCCCATTTCGAGCCTCATAACTCCGAACCTGTCTACCATGGGCCATTTTCGTCATCCGCTGTCTTTTTCGGGTCAGTCGGGGGAGGACCTTTTCCATTAATTCCAAGTGGCGTTGGGCCTTATCCTTAATTGTCACCCTAGTGGTCCGTCATGGGAGGGTCGTCTCATCATTTAGGTTTGGTAGGGCTACACAAGGTAGGCTATTGGTCCGTAGTTGGAAGGGGGTTAGACCCGTGGACTCGTGGGGTGTCCCCCGGTGGATAGCCAAGATATGGTCCACGATATTGGGCCAAGGCCTCGTGTCATTGGCCGCGATATTACGTCGCAGGGCGGTCTTAATCACCCGATTGGCGTTCTCTACCAGTCCGTTGGATTGCGATATGTGGGGAGCAGTGTTGCGAATGGAGACACCATGTAAGACTTGATTCCTCAAAACTTCCACTCTAAATTTTGCCCCGTTATCCGTCAGGATTTCCTCGGTATCCTGGTGCATCCTGAGAAAACGGTTGACGTATTGCGCGATTTCGGCCGCCCGTCGCGTCTTACACTGATAGGTCTCGATCCATTTCGAAAAATGGTCCACAAAAACCAGAAGGATTAAATACTCGCAACTATTCGGTCCAGGGGGCACGACAATATCGATGGTATCCATGCCGACGCTTTGAAACGATCATTCAACCATGGTAAGGACTATCGATCTAGGCGGCTGAATCGGCGCCTTGTTGGCGGCGCAGACGGAGCAGTTTCGGACGATGAATTTAACATCGTCGCGAATATTAGACCAATACCCTCCGTGATTTGGACGGTGAAGTGGGCTGACTTAACCTAGTCGTACCTCATGAGCGGATGAGGAACGGACATCCAGATCCCTCTACCGTCCGTTTTTCGATTTTCTAACCGTCCCTCGTTCCATTGATAGTCCCGTGCCCTCTCATTGGCCTTCCTTCGGTCCTCCTCGGTGAAGTCTCCGAGGGAGTTCCCAACTACCGTAGCTATCAGGGTGACATCTGTCCAAACCTCCTCCCTTTTAAACCGTTGGGTCTTTTCCAACCCTTCGGATGTGGCTTCAAGGGATCGAGCCTCCGTCGGAATCTTATCAGTTCGACACAAGGGACATAACGAAGGTTTGGCCGTATTTCTGTACTGGATGCAGGAGCTGTGAGCTCGAGAGACACAACGCTGATAATCTACCCATTCGACATATCCTTCCCCACTAGGACGCATAGAAACCGAATAAACTCTCGAAATTGCTTCACAGAAATAACAAAATTTATCGGGCAGGGAGAGAAAAGACGAAGACGAAAGGGGAGAAAGAGGGTCTTCGAGATTACCTTCGTGCCCCGTCGCCATTGCGACTGCCAATCAATTCTTAGTGGGTCGAGGGAGGATGGCCACCTGTCCGCACGAGGGCTCGCCGTTTGGTTTTAGCTCCTTCCACGATGTGATCTCGTCGCCCTTGGCCACCTTGTTGGGCCGATGCAATCGTGTCAGCCCGTCAGCGTTGCCGTGTTTTTCTGTCTTTCGGTAAATGATGTCAAAATCGTACTCTTGCAGTCGCACAACCCAACGTCCAATCATGCCCGTGTAATTGGTAAGTTTTTTGAGGGCCAGCAAGGGCTCATGATCCGTGACGAGGAGAAACTTTTGTCTGTACAGATACGGATGGAAATGCTGGATTCCCCAGACAACCGCATAGCATTCTCCTTATGGTGCTGAATCGTTTCTTCTCTCGTCCGATACTATTCGCGAAGCGTACTCGATGACTTGTTTGCGGTCGTCTTTCCCCTTCTGAGTCAGAATAGCGGAGATTGCTTCAAGTTGCTAGTCTGTAATGAGTATGAACTGCTTTTCAGGGTCGGGCCAGATCAAAATAGGCGTCGTAGCCAAGGCTTCCTTCAAGGCGACAAAGGCCTGCTGACATTCCGCGTCCCAATTCAGTGGCTGGTCCTTCCGTAAGAGATTCGTTAGAGGTCGTGCGATAGCAGCAAATTGCTTGATAAATCGTCGGTAGTATGAGGCCAGTCCCATAAAGGACCGGACCTGCGTCAATGTTGTAGGTGTGGGGGCTTCTCGGACTGCCGCGACCTTTCTCGAATCCGGTCGTACGCCTCCTCGCGTCACCACGTACCCAAAAAATGAGATTTCTGAGAGGAGAAACTCACTTTTTTCCAATGCGATCTTGAAACCAGCATCCTTCAATGCCCGAGTGTCCACTCAATGTGTTGAGCATGTCCGTGGAATGATTTCGAGTAAACCAGGATATCGTTTTTATACACAATGACGCAGAAGTTAATCATGCCCTTCGTCAGTCTGGTCTTGTTGACAAAATTCTGAAACGTGACGTTCATAGCTCTCTAAAACGTGGTTGGGGCATTGCAAATTCCCATCGGGCAGCGAAGCCACTGCCAGGTACCCTCAAATAACACAAAGGTCGTCTTTAGCCGATCCTCCTCCTTAACCAGAATATGGTGAAACTCATGACGAATATCAAACTTACTGAACTAATTAGCACACCCAATCGCATCCAGCAGATCATCAATCCGGGGAAGGGGATACACATCCTTGATCGTTATATCATTCAATTTCTGATAGTCGATGCATACGTGAATCGACCCATTGTTCTTCGGAACTAAAACCACGGGAAATGGCCAAGGTCCAATGGCCGGTTCGATCCATCCACTAGCCTCAAATTTTCGGATCTTTTATAACGCGATCTTTCGTTCGGTGAGCGAATATCGATATGGTTTGCAATGGATCGGTGGGTGAGTTTCAATCTGAATTTCATGTTGGACGACCAAGGACAGTCCGATGTCCGTATCCGTTACACTAATCGCCTCCTGATATTCAATTAGTATATCAACAATCAATCGATGAATCTCATTCGGTACATACTGCGGTACGTGTAACTCGTATGGTTGCCCGTGTATAGTAACTTTTACTTGTTTCGTGTTCACCCTTTTACTGTTTTCCGTCGGGGGAGCGAAAATGAAAGAATTATCCGATTGCCAAGAGAATACGATAGCAATCATTTGTGCGTCTTCTTACCGGATGGCCACGTGTTCCTCCGGGGTCACGCCATCGCTGATATCCTGTCAATGCACCGACCTTTCAAGGATTTTGATTCTGAGGTCGTAGATCGTAGGATCGTCACGTTCAGGGGGTTCCAAAGCTTCGCTTTCGACCCCTAGGCGTAGCAATCACACCTCCTTTCCCGAAGTCAGCAAGGAGCGAGGTAGCCCTGTAATGTTGCAGAACGCCTTATTTTCTCGATATCTCGAGAGAAGAGGAGTGGTGGCTGCGTATAGGGTTTGAGGGGGTTCCAAGGAATCAACCATGCGGGATACTTGTACGAGTGGTTCCCCGAAGATTAAAGCTCGAGTCCGTTGCAGATTCTTTTCTGCGAGGACAAACGTTTTCGTTGTTTTCTGTCGGACGGGGTAGCGGATCGATCGGTGCACCATATCTTGGATTACGGGATCTGTGTCGTCTTCGCTACCGGAAAAGCTGTTAGACAGCTCGGGTTCCTTCTCTTTTGGATTTTTCTCGAGGCTCGGCTCTTTCCACGTGATCACTCGAAGAGATCCCCTGATCTCAGGCGAGGGTTTCGGAGGCAGCATGGTTCAGAGAGTTAATCTCATTGGGATGACATACGGTTTCCCGCCCGTGTTTCAAAGAATGATCGATCGCCTTTCAAAATCCAGGTTAGCCCGTAGTGCCGTGAGGGTTGGCAATCCCAGGAGAACATCGTAGATGTTCACATCCAACACTACTACATCTCCCAGGGCGTGAACCCTTCCTAGCCGAAAGGCGACATTTGTTATCCTTCCCATCGCTTTGATCTTTTCTTCGTCCGCTGAGACGAGGTGATCACCTTCCGACTACGTAATTATATCTTTCTTTCTCCAAGCTCGTTCTACGACCCTCAGCGAGATAGCCAAGACTGCCGCTCCTAAATCAAGGATGGCGTTGTACGGAATTCCCCAAACTTCGATGTCGCATTCTGCTGATTTCCACGGAATAGTTTTAATCCGTAGAAAATGATCGTCGTTTTGGATTATTCCTACCCGTATTGGTTCCGACATATCAGGAGTCTTTGGTTTTATCCCCGAGAGTGGGGGATTTTCCTTTCTGAGTAGCTAGCTTAGCGAGAGCAAATCTTTTTCGGTTTGCCTTACAATGCTGCAGCATGCGCTCGTTAGCCTGCTCGGATATGGACAGCAGATGCCCTATAGGCAACGAGATTCGGTGGTCCAAGGCTCAAACTATGTCCAAGACGTCGATTTCCCCAGTGACAAAGGTAGGATCACCGACTTCCATCTCCCTTGAGGAAGGTCTCCATTCGGCTACTTCCTTCCGCTCCTCTACTGGTCGGATGGTTTCAATCATTCCCAATCCCGGGTATCCCAAGGTGACGTATTGGTCGAGCGGAATAAGTTCCGCTGCTTCCTCGGCAGTGGCTATCGTACTTCCTCCGTTCTCGATTTCCTCAAGCATCGTTCCTACCCTTCATGGATTGTTTGCTACAGGTGCAGCAGCCACAGGGGATGCTCCGATTCGAGCTTGGGCGGGTCGGAGGGGGCAGTCTTGGACTATGTGGCCCGACTGGTGGCACGTGTAACAAACACTCAGGTTCGTTGCCGCTCCGCCCATAGTCTGAGCAGCGGGGGCCGCTGCTTGCATCATGGGTGCTGCCCTGACAACGATAGGGCACATCGTTCTCATCAACGACTCTATCCTAGCGTTATGTTCCCGTTGCTCCTTCTTGCTTTCTTGCATCAGACTAATTAACGTACGGGTTAGCTCAAGTATCGCAATCGATTCGTTTGTTCTGTTCAGAATTTCTTGGGGAGGCCACATGAGTCGTCATAACGGGTACGGACACTCCCACAGTTGTGTCGGGAGCGGACTTTTTGGTAGGGATTTGCTCGAGATAGGTAACAGGGCCAGAGATGAAACCCATGTTTTCAAACTTGTTCTCAAGCGCGGCCAACTCGTCCCTCGCCCTAGCTAATTCTGAGGAATCTTCCTCTCTAGGATAATCTTCTCCATCCAGGAAACTAACAACGAATTTTTGCTCAATTTCCTCGGCCACAGACATAATCTGTTGTAAGGTGTGGTTGATCGGGGAGAATTGCTTTCGCAATTTTGCTCTGATGGTTCTATTGCGAAACCCATCGATAAATAGATCCCTCCCAGCTGCTTTCCCCCGCTGGGTCTTGACGAACATCCTATCGAATCGGTTGCGATATTCGGTGACTGACTCGAGAGGTGTTTGAACTCGATCTTTGATCATAAAGAGTGTTTGTTCTGGATGAATGCAATCGAATCGATTTAGGAAGTCCTGCTCGAACTTTGGGAGATCTATCCAAACATAAGTGCTGAACTAGTGGTGTGCATCCCCTCCTAATCTGGCTGGGATGTTGATCTGAGCTTCGTCATTGTCATATTGTTGTGCACATAAGGTAGCTAACCATGCTTCGGCTAAGTGATGTGCAAGATCAAAAAGATACAGATCCCG